TCGCGGCCTCTAGAAGACCACGGAGCAAGGCAGCGCGTAGCAGCGGCGATGTTTTGGCTCGCCCGAGCGAAGCGATGGAGGAATTCATCGTCTCACGATGATTCTCCAGTTCACATCGTGGGACATGGCGCGTGCGCGCCCACCGTCTCCGTGGCGCTCGATCTCCCGATTGAGCTCCGTGCGTTCCTGCTCGAGCTAGAGTCATGCTTCCTCGAGCTCTTGGTGTTGGGCTTTCAGCTACTCCACCCGCATGCGAGGTGGGGCCGTAGTCTCGCCCTCAGCCTCGTCATCGAGGTCGTTCATTGGGGTAGCCTCCTCCTCGTGTACGCTTTCAAGGTGTCCCTCGGGGGTACCTATCATGAAGCATTCACGAGAGGGGTGATGGCTCCCCCTGCTAGAGTCAGAGCCAGAGGGTGACTCTGGTTCCTCTACTAGGAGGTCGTGGAAAGACTCCGCGATGTGTTCAATCACCCCTATGAACTCGTTGTTCATGGGGATAAAATCATCCGTTGTGCCACAAGGTGGCCAATGGTCTCTGCGGCGTTGCGGAGACCGAACGGGAGCATTGTCGGGGTGCTCTGGATGAGGTATTTCTGGGGAGAGCGGCTCTCTCCTAGTAAGCTACGCCATGACATTGGCAAATGAGAAGGTGAGGTGGCGTAGGTCCTCCCGGGGTGGTTGGGGTCCCAAGAAGACGCCGAGCTAAAGCTCCAACCTCCCATAGTCGAAGTCGAGGCATTGGCTGCTCTCGGGGGCGCGGGCCTTTCGGCGCATGCAGCCGTAGCTCCTCAAGTGCCTTAGTGATCGCGTCGAGGCCGGTGGAGTGGAAGGTTTGAACGACGACGACGGGCACCTGCGCTAGCTCTCCTCCGCGTGACGATGAAGTCTAGGTCCTCGAAGCGCACGTGACCGCTCCCTGCACGATGCCAGAAGTTTGACCTTGGGTAGTACTTTCTAGCCCATGGTGGTTGGTGGTGGCGTGAGCTTCCGTTAGGAACCGTGTCCGAAGGATCGGGCGAAGCAGAGCCAGCCCTCAGACGTCGGGCGAGGCGGAGCCAGCCCCCAGACATCGGGCGAGGTGGAGCCAACCCTCAGATGTTGGGTGAGCCGAGGCGTACCCAACCCACGGGGGTCGAGCGAGGCAGAGCCAACCCCAGACATCGAGCGAGGCGGAGCCAGCCCTCAGACGTCGGGCGAGGCGAAGCCAGCCCTCGGGAGTCAGCCGAGGCGTACCCAACCCACGGGGGTCGGGCGAGGCGGAGCAGCCCCCAGACGTCGAGCAAGGCGGAGCCAACCCTCGAGGGTCGAATGAGGTTGGGCCAACCCTTGGGAGTCACCGAGGCGGAGCCCACCAAGAGGTGTAGTCGCGCTCTTGACCGCTTTGATGAATTAGCGTTGATGGATATTACCTCCTCCCCTTCGGGTACCCTAGTATTGGTCCTCAACAATATCCAACCATTCATAGAAGGGTTTTTTCCAAACACACCTTGGATGGGAGAGTTTCCAGAGGAAAATTAATTTGGAAGTTCATCTTTACAATATAACTAGGTAGCGTGCCCGTGCGTTGCTACGGGACAACTAAATTTTTTATACTAAAAACACACGGATCGCACGATAAGATAATAATACTGTTAAATTAAATACCGACGTCAAAGTGATATTTAATTCAAAAAGCAAAGTTCATGAAATTAACACAATCACAGAGAGCACGACGTCATAGGCTCACAAACTCTACTGTATAGACTTTTTCGTGATACGGCTAAGATAATATTTTATATCAATAGAAAGAATTCTACGATATCCATTTCTTTCATGCGCCAATAAATTCATGAATAAGTTCCACTGCATCTTCATATAATCATGTACACACATGTTCGAGTATATATGTAAATAAGTTCATGCTCATGCGTTGCTATGGGACAGCTAAACTTTTATACTAAAACACACGGATCGCATGATAAGATAACAATACTGTAAAAGTATATGATCGACATTAAAGTGACATTTAATCTAAAAAGCTAAGTTCGTGAAATTTACACAGTCACAGAGAGCATGGCGTCACAGGCTCACAAACTCTACTGTGTAGATCTTTCCGTGATACGGCTAAGATCATTTTTTATACCGGCAGGAAGAGATTTTTGATATCTATTTCTTTCGTGCGCCAACAAATCCACGAATAAGTTCCACCACATCTCTATACCATCCTGTACACGGCGCTGGCAAGCGAATTAGCTACAACTTATATAATTAGTTTTATAATTAGCTCATGTTTAGTCCTCCTAATTGATATCTAAAAATTTAATGTGACAGGGACTAAAGTTTAGTCCTGGGATCCAAACACCCCCTAACTCTCGACTCCTGCTGGCTGCTCACTTGCACCACCATGTTTATGTGTCTGCACGTATATACTCTAATGCCAGAACATCTAAGATGGTCTTTAAGGTTGCCATTTGTGTATGTTGTAGGATTATGATGTTTTGCACTGATCCATGAGGGTGTCCATGAGAGTCGAAATTTTTGATGCCATTATGATGTTTAAGCTTACCAATCAGACAGAGACGAACTTGATTGTTAAAATATTTTCAACACTGCTTTCATATACTCCCTCTATCCCAAAATAGAATCCATTCTCGCTTTTCGAGAAGTCAACTTTTTTTTTAACTTCGACCAATTATAATACAGGTATTTTTTACATGCATGTGGCCTCAGGAGTCAACCAATTGATTGTTAAATGTTGCACGTATTTTTTACAAACCTAGTCAAAGTTGAGAAAGTTTGATCTGCACACATCCCATAACAACTTATATTTTGGGGCAGAGAAAGTATATGCTAATGGGAGTAGTCAACTGGAAGTCGTGATGAACACAACAATACTTTCATATTATATGTTAATTGGAGCACGAAGAAACGCAGGGGAATGGACCTATATACGAATGGTGGGAATATTCGTTTAAGAAATTGCAGAAGGTTCACCAGTCTCACCATGTATAATCTGCACATCTTTTATTTGGCACCACTGATGTTCTCAAGGAGCAGCCATTTTTTAATTTTAAGTCTGCATGCTGGAAACACTAAAATTAAGAGCCAACCTCATTGAGTCGTCTTGCTTGATCTTTGTCAATTGTTTCATTCCATGCATGATTATTGTTTCCTTCTATGCATGTGGCCCCAGGTGATCGATTTGTTTCCTTCAAAGCAGGCGGGGATCGCAGGAATGACAATTTCTTTTTCTATCGCGCGGGGTATCGCATGGCCAGAAGGGAGGAGTCTTGCTTGATCTTTGCCAATTGTTTCCTTCTATGCTTGATTATTGTTTTCTTCCAAGCATGTGGCATCAGGTGATCGATTTGTTTCCTTCAAAGTAGGCGGGGATCGCAGGGATGACAGTTTCTTTTTCTATCGCGCGGGGTATCGCATGGCCGGAAGGGAGAAGCGACCCAAAAAAAAGTCGCACCAAAAAATAGTCTTACTTTTAGTCTTTTTAGTTGTAGGAGATAATGTTCTATAAGGCATTGTTATTTAGGACAAGGCATGAAGTACCTTTTCAGAGCCCACAACGGCAAGCACTTGACTTGCATAACTATTGTTTATTTGGCATGAGAATTCTGAAGGCTGGAATTTACCTGCAAAATGACCAGGGGATCACAGATAGGAAATTCAGACAGCCCGTGGGCTATTTAAGCCCCTATATGCCACAGCACAATCGCGCGTGACCAAATGGAGGGCCAGTCCATTGGTGACCATGCTTAATTATTCAACCATACCATAAATCATGCAACCTATTGGATCAGCTCCATCGCGCTGAACAGCCTGTCCCATCAAAATCGGATCAAATCCACACTGTCTCCCTCTGCCTCAATTGCAATTCGACACTCATGTCTGTGTAATGAAAATCTAATGAAATTCACAATGCTTATCCTTACAACATTGCATTTTCATATTCTGAGCTCATGGCCTTGTCCCTAGCCAACATGCTTTCATCTCACCATCTCTGCATTGACAAAATGGCATGATGATCCAGGTTTCATCTTTCATCAGGCACTAAACACTTCATGAGATACTTCAGGCCCCATATCACTTCCATCACAGCATCATTAAACAGGATACCAAGCATCAATATTATCGTTTCATCATGCTATAATGTGCCAGACTCATCAAGGAACTGACTAACGAACTCATTTTTCAGGATACCAGTTAGGAAGCTCAGTGTCCTACACTACTAGGCAAGCTGCTGAAACTCACTACATTATAATGTAATTGACCTATCTTTGTTTACGATGAATGATTGCATGCTTTGGCCAGCTCTGTGCTTCGGCATCACTACATACCTGTGTGTACAGACAGCATTGGTTTGCTGCCTGCCGTCAAAAGGCTTTTAATTTGGTTTTTGTTGCTTGGACTGCACAATTCAGTATGTTTTACACCAATGCTGACAGCACAGGACATCCAGCGCCTTCAATTGCGGGCGTTCCATCCTAGTTTATGTCACCTTTTTTTTTAAAAAAAATGTACATCTCTTTTTAGTTTTTGCACACAAGAGAGCGCAGTGCATTGACGGACAGCGCGACAGTGTGCCCGCGAGCAGCAGGTAGTCGAAGTTGAGCAGTTAACATTCTGGACGGGTACGAATGCAGCATGGGGTTGGGCCGAAACCCGCCTGGGCCAGACCACCAGGCACCAATGTGGTATATTTTACTTAAAAAAGAAAGGAAAAGAAACACAGTTGAGTCAGTGTATCAATGTGGCAATGTTTGAAACTTGAGTGTCCTCCGTTAATCCATATATATGACCAAGTAAAAAGTCACTTGCACATAAAGAGCAACGCGCACTAACATTGTCGTTGATTTACACGTAATTACCAGTACCCTTATTATTTCTGGGCATCCTCCTCCTCCTCTATAACTCAATTTACATTTCTCGCATCCTTACAGCTGCAGATACAGGTTTATTAAGGCGTTGAATAAGTTACAAGTCACACAAGTCACGGGGTCTTCCATCGATCAGCTGCAGAACAGAGTCTCCTTGGTGGTGTTCCCAGTGGTTGAATTCACTCTGTTCGATAAACGATGAGATCAACAGACAAATCACTAGACTTAATGGCCATCAATCCGTCCATGTCAATGCGTTGTGTTCTTACCCGTCAGCAATTTTACAGAGGTATTCCTGTTGATCGTCTCGCAGCGGGACATCGGTAAAATCTGCAGGTTGAAGAAAATGGTGCATGGTGACACTACTGCTTATGTGATCATGTCAAGACTCAAGAGACAAGAACAAGCTCATTTATCCAGTCTGAGCTTTTCCTACTTTTGCTCATTTTGATTTTGCAAAGGGGAATAATGGAAATTTGTTTGTGCCCCCTCTACTGATGACAACCTTTTGAGTGGAGAAAGGTACAGTTGCTGAGTTGCAGCAAGAGATGGCTATCAGAGTGATATGCAGAAATCACTTGCCTGCCCCAGTTATGTTGGCACCTTTGAAAGAAGTGTTTCCTGTGACAAGTGCCCCTTCCAAGTTGGCATTTGATAAGTTTGTCTGCAAATGAAGTGAGGCAAAACCAATCATGAGCGTGTTGAAAAACAAATCACCATGCTGATATCTATGGACAGATAGTTCAATCAGACAGGGAAAACATGAAGGGATTTGTTTCATAGAAAATAAACAAAGAGAGGAGCACGAACGAAATGGGCCCAAATATAAACGTCTGATTTAACGATGGCTGAACGTTTTGGATGAGGATGAGATACTTGTCAGGCATTTTGAACAAAATAGAATACAGCCGCGTGCACAAGCGTGCTTGAATTGAATCCTGATGAAACTGAACCAAAGTAATGTGCGATCCTGAACATTTTACCTTTGTTAAATTCGCCAGCGAGAAATCGGCGCCTCGAAGATCAGCATCAGAGAGGTCAAAGCCTGAATCCGTCGGCAAACATATCCAGTAAGCCACACAGCGAAAACCAAGTCACAAACTTTCCAAAGACAAGGAACAAGAACTGGAACCATCGAAGATGGAGTAGCAAGCAATTCAGTACTTGTGAGGTCTGCATCGAAGAAGCTCGCGCCGAGCAGGTTCGCGCCTTTGAAGTTCGCCTGCCTCAGTATAGACTACATCATCAAGAACATCAAGAATCAACAAGCATAAGCAAAACCCTGACAAATGACATGCTTTTTTCTGCATATTTACACAGAACTTCGAAGATTTGACGCGTTTCTAGTCTTCTTCACATCGAGAAGCATGGGATAGCAAATTGTAAGAAAATTGCCCAAGGCAAGGTGAGATGTGCATGCAATCGCAGTATACCGTCTTGAAGTCCTGCTTGACGAGCGTCAGGCCGCTGAAGTCCTTGCCGGTGAGGTCCTGCCCCCGCGTCACCTGCTTCCCATACGGGCCTCCTCCCTGCAGCCACGCCGCGCGCGCGCCATCAACACCCCGATTTCGCAAGAACTTGGGAGGACAGCAGAAACAAGGCAGGGTAAGTAAACGGCGGGCGGACAATGAAAGCCACGGCGGGGTCGGCGACGAGGAGCGATGCGGCGACGAGCGCGGCGGCGCCGGCATTGGCGAGGTGGAAGTGCACCGAGGAGCGCGCGGGCGTAGACGTCGCCGGTGGCGCGGCTCCGGCGAGGGCGGGTGGAGACGGGGCGAGCTTGAGGGCGCCCAGGATGGCCATGCCCGTGAGCTTCAGTTTCAGAGCTGCTTGTTTCTGTTTCCGTCTAGGCTACATACGTGGCTGTGTGTTATCCGTCTTATCTGTTTTGTGGTGCTGCTTGGGATTGGCCAGTCAGCCGAATCCACGATGCCTTCTTCCAGTCCTTATTTCCTTCTGTTTTGTTGGACAGAAAAGCAAGATCAAAATCCCCTCACTTTAGTTTGAATCCAAACAAATCCAAAAATAAATTCTGACCAAACCAAAGTTAAACGAAGATACCTTTGGACAAAGTTCACCTAGTTCATCTTAGGGGAAAAAACATACATGCTCCCTTGGAATGGAGATTTTTTCCTGTCTCATACCTTTTCCTATAAAAATGACTGATTTTCGTGAAATTTTTAAATGATTCTTATAAAATTTATGTGTTCTAAACATGCATACCGTGGAGAATGGCAGAAATGAATGGATGACTCCGTCTCCTTCGGTGACGATGACTTTACCTTGGGGACGGGCTGGACTCAGGGCTAGACGGACGGTCTGGGTCCAAGCGTGGCCCAGATATAAAATAATTAGCAAAAAATTACTTACCTTAATTGACTGCTTTAAAATCCGTGGAAATCTTTGAGGGAGGAGTATAATTATGTGCCCATATATGCAATTATTTATCACATTAATCCTACCAGCTTACTATTTCCTGCCCTGTGAATTTCTGTCATTCATCAAACGTGCATCGGATCATGGCATGTGTAAAATCTTGGTTGAGATCACCGTTGGAGAATTGGAGTTCTTTGTCAGATGTGTACATGACTGATTTCAGATTTTTGGTCTGGGTAATACGGGATTGCAATGATTCTTAGGATTTCTAGGAGATATTCACAAGAATTTTATCTCTGAACATCAGGATAGCTAAGCAAAATTCATATGGTCACATCCTTACCAATGGAATCCGAAGGTTCTCATGGAATCATTATTCAGCTTTGTGCAAATTTATTTAACAACCTCCAACTGGCAGTGATCAACTTCTGACCGGCTAGGTGAGTTTCCAATAGCTTTTACCTGTTTCTTCAATTATTCACTCATGGAATCATTATTCAGTTTCGTAAAAAAATAAACAACCTCCATCTGATAGTGAGCTGAGATTCCAATAGTTCTAACATCTTTCTTGAATTATTCAAATTTCCCTTTTCAGTTCAGTTTACCATATAGCAAGTGATTAAACTATTGTGCATCATGGTATTACTTTTTTGTTTTCGCTCACTATCAGTGTTGAACAGTAAACAATTGACAAGTTGTCTCCTTCACATAATCAAGACTTGAAGGAGCACTGATTGATGAGGACACAAACTTGCCAGACGATCATTGCAGAAAGCAACGGTGATGTCGCATCGCTACTTAATAGCGTTATAAGATTACCGCAGCAATGCACACAGTATCATCTGATATACAAATGTTAAATGTTCAAGAATCTTGGAAAGTCAAACTTTTATAAGTCTAAAATTATATAGAGAGAAACACAAAGATTGATGACATCAAATAGGTATAATATAAAAATATAACTAATGAAGAATCTAATGATACTTACTTAGTATGATAAATATTATTATTTTGTTATATAAATTTGGTCAAACTTGAAAAACTTTGACTCTCCAAGATTCTTGGAATGACTTACAATTTGGGATGGAGGGAGTACTTAAATGTTCATATAAGTCCACATTATTTAGGAACAAATGCATTTAAAAAATCGCTTGAGTCTTATACTATAATAAATAAGTAAATTAATCAAATACGATTGGCTTCGAGGATTTCTTGCATGACCCGCTTGAGCGCCCAGTCCTCTGTCACAATAGTACCGTGCTCAGCCCCATGAAGTTTGATGGACTTGTACAGCTTGTTCTGCTCCGGCTGCCGACGCATCTTCTCGTCGAACGCCAACATGCTGATCAAATTGATGGTATTGTCTCCGTCGCCATACACTATCTCGGGTTCCGCGTCGAAGTCGCCGTCCCAGTAAACCAGCTGCTCCGGCTTGTCGTTATTGCCCACTCCGTTGATGCACGTCGTCGGCACCATGGGGGCCTGGAAGGAGCTCATCTTCGGGACCACTCGTCTCGTGAAAGGCTCCACGCCGGCGCCGAAGCCGATGTCGGCCAGGAGGTCCTCCACGTCGTAGGCGGAGTAGTTCCTCCGCGCGGTGACCACGAGCGGCCTGTCCCCGAACACCGCCGGGGACGGGATGTTGACGATGGAGGACTCGAAGCTCCTCCACATGGGCCTCAGAGTCAGCGCGAGCTGGGTGACCGTGGGGATGTACATCAGGTCGGACCCGGAGACGAAGTACTGCAGCGTCTGCACGAGCCCTTCCGCCGGCACCGGAGCGACGAGGACGAGGTGCTTGATGTACCTGTCTCGCCACGACATGGGCGTGCTCCGCACGAACTCCAGCGCCACCATCCCCCCGAAGCTGTGACCGAAGAGGATCACCTTCTTGTTCTCGTTCTTCTCGCTCGCGTCCTCGATGAGCCTCGTCAGCCGCCGGAAGTAGCGCGAGAAGACCTCCGATGACTGGCCGGGCACCGGCGGGGCGAAGCGGAGGTCGTACTGGGCGGCGAACAGGGTGTCGCCGTCGCGGTACCCGGCCTTTTCGAGCTCGTGTCTAAGGACCTCAAAGCACCAGGTCGTGTGCTCCGGGTTCCTCTGGAAGCCTCGGGAGGAGCCGAAGCCGCGCACGCGCGTCTCGACGCCGGGGAGGTTCCGGTAGTCATTGGCGGCGGGGTCGTAGACGAGGGTCATCTGCTCGATGAAGCACGGCACGTAGTGGTGCGCGGGCAGGTCGGAGCAGTTGGCCCAGAGCCCGAACCAGCCCTTCCCCTTCATCGCGCCGCACCGCGGCACGGAGGGGCGGTAGGCGTCCGTGAGCCGCACCTCCAGCTCGCTGCAGGTCAGCCCGGGAACCAGCACCAGCGGGTGGAGGAGGACCTCGCCGCCGCCGGTCGTTGTTCCGCCGCCGTTGGCAGCACCCTCCGACGGCTGGTGGTCGATCGTCGTCGTGGGCGAGAGGAGCTCCCGGAGGCCAGTGGGGAGCAGGAGGAGGAGGAGCGGCGCTACAACCTGGAGAATCCGTGAGCAAACCCAAGTCCTTGGCTAACGGACGCGCGCGCGGTGCCGGTTGGGAGCGGCAACACCAGGCACGGTGGTCACGAGCTAGACGTGATAGGCTAGGTGAGGTAGAAGAAGGCCAGACATGGTGGATGGAGGAGACAGGACCAAGCGGTGGCGCCGATGGAGACCACATCTAATCTCACGAGGAATAAAAAGAATGAAGCGAAATGGTATCTTGGATTGGGTAATCGGTGGCACGGTTGGTAATTTCTCACAAGTGCTCCGTGGATCTCATGAATTTGGAAGACATCTATGTTTTGTTGGATCTTGAGCCGGTGAAGCCGAAGGTGTTTGACAAAAAAATCTAAAAAGTGAAACTGTTTTTTAGATTTTGAGCTGTTGGGAGCTACCCCAAACACTCCCATAATCAAAATTGACTCCAGAGGTACTAACTGTAGAGCTGACCAGAAAGAAGACTCCCAGCTTTTGCTTATTTTATTTAGGACTTAGAGCATCTCCAATAGTTCAAAGAAAAATAGTTGGAAAATTAATGAGTATTTCAAGTGGCTATAAAATATTGGAAGTACATTTATTATGTTTCTTCAATGGTTTTTAAAATCTAGCTCCTAAAATATAGAAGATAATTTCGCATAAGGGCGTACCTAGTGCAGAGAGCTCCCGCTCTATGCGGGGTCCGGGGAAGGGTGTCAGTGGCAAGCCTTATCCTTACCTGTCCAATGCGAGGAGACCGCGACTCGAACCCGGGACCTTCCGATAACAGGCGGTAAGACTCTACCACTTGGACCAGGCCCACCCTTCATAATTTCGCATCAGGAATCCCAAATTATTCTATATCACCCCAACCACTCTCGTACTTTCTTTCTCTCTTGTACAATTACATCGAGAACCATCTCATACTTCATATTCTTCTCACGTCCTTCCACCACCAGATTGCCTGATCCATATGTGCGCATATATTTCCGCGATTGGATTGATTTTCCCAGGTGTAGAAAGATTGGGAGTTGAGATAAGGTGTTGTTCGAGAGCAATTTTTTCAATCTTGTCAAAAAAAAATCTAGATTGAGAGTGAATTTTAGAAACTCTTGGAGATGCTCAAGAGACATCGACGCTTCACTTCACTAGAGCGGTTTGGCGAGGAAGTCGCTGAAGTCATTTCTGTACCTAATGGGTGGAACCACGAAAATATGACTTTTTCTCATAAATTTTAGTATAACAAAATTGTCACTAAGCTGGTTTTAGCAAACATTTTTCTTCGACAGATTCAACTCTAGTGGAAAAGCTGTTCTACAAAAGAAATCAACGTCGGAGCCCCCCTACTCAAGTGTCAGTGTCGGAGACCGTAGCGTACACAACGGTGCTCAAGTCCTTTCTTTTCTTGTACAATCACTTTAAAGCAAGTACAGTTACGGGCTATAAGTAGGATATATGCTGAGATGAATGAGAAGCGAATTGTAAGTTTAGATATAATATGTGTGCAAGAACTCACAAACTTTATGGGAGAAATAAATGGTCAATGATGAACCAACAACTATATCAATAGGCTAAAATATCAGTCGTAAGTATATATGCAGCTCAGACTGTATTATTTGTCTTCTCTTAGACATAATAGAGCATTTATGTGGCCGCTCGTCCGTTTCACGTGTAACTAAAAGTTCTCACACATGCCAACCGCTGCCGCCACTGTAGCGAGCTCACGAGGATCCGATACCCTTGATCGTGTGACAGAAAGAAAATATAAAAGTAGAAGACAGATATGATATATTCGTGGCATGGTGTGACAGGTGATGAAAGAATATATGCATGTGGCTTTTTTAGCAGGATTGAGAGAAAAAAATTTAATCCTTTTTAATAGATAATTTTAAACTAATCTCACCGACTTTTATTTCCAAAACTAGCATGTT